GGGGGGGGACCGGGGGATGTTCAAGAATCATAAACACCCCTGCAATCTGTCAGTTTTGTTTCTTTTTTCTTTGTTTTTCTGTATAGAGGAATATGAATATAAATTTATGGTATTATTTGAATGCTGTTTTGGAGAAAATAAATCTTCATAAATGGTTATAATGCAGTCATCGTTAAATTCTTCCCCTTCTGCAATATTCTATGTTTTTCATTTTTGGCGACTGCTTCGGCTTGTTTAGGGCAGAGAAAAAGGAAAGCTTCGGACTTCTCGTTTTCAGACTCCCATCAATCTAGCGCTGGCCGCTGGGTCTCGTCAAACATACGTCGGGGCCTTGTGGGAGGGGAGGGGACATTTAATGGTTAATTAGGGTTTAAGCAACGCCGGGAATTTTGCTTGCTTGGATGGCAGTTTTATCGTTCGGAATAAGGTCTAGTGTAGGAGTGACTTGCCAGCTGTCTAAAATATAACACGTGGCTGTCCAAAGCACGATCCGTATGTTTGCCACGTCACTCTTTAACTAACAGTCCAGTCCAGTCCAGTCCAGTAAGGAGTCCCCCCCCCCCCCTCGTGAATTGTGTTGGGGGAGTACAGCAGTGCCCTTGTCTTTTTTTTTTTTTTTTCGGAGGTCTTGAAATTTCAACAACTATCATATTATTCTTTATTCAGGGTCAATTATTGTTTGTCAAGACTCAAGATTGGAGGGTGTGCGTTGGCTGCCGGAGTCACACTCTTTGAAAAACGGAAAGAAAAGAAGAAAACAAGTGGGGTTGCCCCAGCGCCCCGGCCAACATTGTGCGATCGGGTACCCAAAAGGCCAAAACATATGATCGTTAGGACAAGAGGAGTAACGTAACGATCAAACCTCAAAAGAAAACAAGTGTAGGTAATAATAATAATAATAATAAAATAATAAAAGACCCATTGATAGAATTACCAGTCAACCTTCAAAGATCCCCAGCTTAAAACTCATTTCTGGTCGGGAATGGGACTATGGTAGTAAGTCTACTTTGGTTCTCCTCTGCAAGAGGCCACATACCAACACAAAGAATCCAAGATGTTTGCTTAATTACTAAAATGCCCTCCCATGAAGAGCACAACAGATGATGCCTAGTGTAGATTGATGTGTGATGTCAGATCTGGCCTGTCCTAGTGTCCCCATATTAAGGGTTTTTTTTTTTCCAATTTTCAGGCATCGTCTTATCATGAATTTTCACTTGTCTGCAACAGACAAGGTGCATTCCGTGTGCATCTTTCATCCGCCCCATCAAGTGGAGGGCCCAGATTCATGAAACCAACCACCTAACGATCCGGAAAGCATGTATCAAGAAACAAAAAAAATGCACAATCACTTGAGAAGACTTTACTTACACCATCGATAATCTTAGGCTCACTTTGGAAAAAGTACAACTGTACAAACTGAAAAACCTTAAATTTTGTATTATATTGTATGTATTTGTATTTTACATATTTATATTTATATTCTTTTCAAACTAAGCTTTAGACTCAGTTTGGAAGGAGTACAAATACAAATATATAGAATGCAAAATAATGTATTTTATATATATTTATACTGTACATATTTGTATTTATACTCCTTCCAAACTATGCCTTAGGTGTAAATATTCTCTTGGACTATGGTAGTATGGCATACAACGTGCTAGCACAGGACACAATGCAAACAGGGAGACGGCTGGTCTGTTTTATTAGGTAACTGCAGCCTGAGACTACAACATAATTTTTTACCATCTTCCAGCTCCAGGTTTGGAAGCTAAACAACGAACTTCACGCAGAGATGGAGCCCATACTGGTTTTACCAGTTGGGCGCATTACTTGGTGAATCCTTGGGATAGGATTTCATGAAATTCAGAATGAGATACATATACCGATGATGGAAAAGCTTCCGTTGTTGTTAGGCCAAGGCTCAGACCTAGCAACCTATACTTGTCCGTCTTTGGGCGGAGGGGCATACACACCCACTCGTAGTGGGGATTTGAGCCGAGCGGAGCCGATAGTTCGAGGCTCAAGTTCGATTTTGAAAAAAATGTTTTATAAAAATAAAAAATTAATTATATATATATATATTCGAATCGGTTTGCAAACCTCACAAGCCGAGCTCTAATAGGCTATTTCATAATTGAGCCAATAAATTGGGCTCGAACTTGGCTCGAAACTCGGTTGAAACTAAACTGAACCGAATTCGAGCAGCTCATGAAAAGCTCGGCTTGTTGCCACCTCTACCCACTGGTCAATACAACTTACATATTTTTAATATAATGTTATATGTTTATACCAGTAAAATATGCAAGGAAATAATTTAATTTGATATATGCAGTGGGTGTACATGTTTTTTTTTTGGTTACTAAGGTTTATATATTATTTCAGATTTACCATTAAGGCTGAGAGTTTGGAAGGAGTACAAATACACATTTATAGAGTGCAAAACTTTGTATTTTGTATTATTTTGTATGTATTTGTACAGTACATATTTGTATTTGTACTCCTTCCATACTCAGTCTAAGGTGCATAATATATTATTTATTTTTGGTGACTTAAGCATATTAATATATAATAGTTCTATGTTTTTAACGCACAAGCATAAATTACAATTAGTTCATGTCCAGTATATCAATTACAATTTATTACTTTCACACATGCAATTAAAGCATGTGTTTTTTTATGCCTTTACCCAGCTGAGCTGTATAATGTCTTTATTAATGTAGATTTCCCTATTACATCCATGTTGTCTGTATTTCATTGTTTCCTAGTGTTCTCCATAGTATATGTGTCCTAGACTCTTAATATTGCCTCTCCAAAATTCCTTGCAAGACTGATACTTTGAACGGTGTCTAAGGCCCCTCACTGAAACAAAACCCTATTACTAATAACAGTAAAAAAAAGGAAAAAAAAAAGAAAAAAACCTAGAGAGGTTCATTTATCTCTTCAAGTGATCCAAGCATGCTTTATCTCTTCATCATCCACTGTTATTGAAAAAACTTGCCTTCCTATTTTGTCTTTTTTCTTTCTTCTCTTGTCAGATCAGATAAATCAAGAAAGCCTCCTAGATTTCCTTTTCCCATTTTCTTAGCAACATTTAATGTTCAAACAGTGTGATGAATGAAACAAAGTAACTAACACGAAAAGGCGAAGGCACAAGAAAAAGAAACCATGGAAATTCATGTTGTGAAGTCGAAAAGCACTGATCTTAATGAGATAATGTCTTATTACCAACAAACCACTGGCGGAACTATAAATTGACACTTCACTAGAAGAAAAAATTTTCCCATCCGCCATTTGTTGGAAACAATGTTTAGAAATTCATCTTTGGTCAAGTCAAACACAAGTAGATAACATGCCATCCATACTCAAGCATAGTAATTGCAATGATGTTTATGGTGTATCATCGTATCAATCCCCTGCTGTTCATCTCTGTTCTCTCAGAGACCATTTCTTCACATCTGAACCCTGTGACCATGGAGAAAATTGGATTGAAGAATTAAATTGGGGGGGGGGGGTCATAACTCAAATATTAGCCATCTTCCCCACTGAATTCTAAGATGACAGTTTGCCTGGTGAGAAGAGGTTTAGCTCTGTTTTATTAGGAGTTCAATATCAGCTCCAATTTCAGCAACTTTGGCTTCCTTTGAGACCTTTGCTGCTTTGGCGATGCTCTGAACATCAAAATCCATGGCTATTCTTTTCACAAGACCCTCAAGCATCTGTTGTTTGAGAATTAAATCAAGGACATCAACAAAAAACAGAAAAAGTAACAGACTGAATATATAGGCTAGAACTCCTAACAAGGTAGAGCTAGCTGGGCAAAATGAACGAAGACTTGGTACTAATACCACCATGAGTGGCAGCAATGAAACTTGATCAACCATTCTCTTGATTTAAATGGGCTGAATGTCATATGGCGTATACTAACCAAACTGACAATCAAAACATATCAAATTGGGTATTTACTAACCCTGGCCAAACATAGATTGACCAAGCATGCCCCAAATGATCCATTACAACCCTATAAGCAATTCAAATCTTCCAATGGTGCAACTTGTCGGAGCCTATTCCTCCATTTAACTGTCAATTAAGTTTCTACTTAATGTTCATAAAAGAGTAAGAAGAAACAGATAAGCACCACAACTAAGAGGAATGTGAAGATGATATATAACATGTCTTGTAACAACTATCAAGTTTACAATTTTAGATGGTAATAACAAAGAAAATGTTCATAAAAGAGTAAACAGAAACAGAAAAGCACCACAACTAAGAGGAGAATGTGAAGATGATACATAGCATGTCTTGTAACAACTATCAAGTTTACAATTTTAAATGGCAATAAACAAAGAAAATAAGACAAAAATTGTACAAGTAATTAGTATTCCCAAATATGACTTGAAACAGGAAATAGTATGTTGATATCCAAGACCCAAATCATAGTCACCCAACCCCTCTCAAAGATGAGTGGTCAAGGCTCAATGCAGAAAGTTTCATATAGATTTCAGGAAGTCTTATTTGAATGTGGCTTTTTAAAATATAAACATGGAGCTCACCATCTCTCCACCACATTCCAGCAAGACTTCTAGAAAACCATAGTTCAACCTTCTGTACCAAGGCCTTTATTACCAATCAAATGACTTTATTACCACAGGACCATGCTCCAATTCTCATTTAACAAAACTGCTTTCTTAGCATATGTTACATCAAAAGATATCCTATTTGTGTAATTCAAGATGGGTGACCAATAGAAGAAAAACTAAAAAGAAGATTCAAGGTAGGAAAGTCCAAAATTCTACAAACAGGACACGAAACTCATCTAGGGGTGAGCATAATTTGGTTAAAACTGAAAAACCGAACCGAAATTTCGGTTTCAGTTCAATTGGCTCAGTTTAATCAGTTTCAGCTGTGAAAATCGGTTTAAGTATTTTTCGGTTTTCGGTTTCGGTTGTCATGGTTCACAAATCAGTTAATTGAAAAAACCGGTTTATTTTTTAAAGCTATATAACTTTTTTAATATTATTGGTAGTTTCTACATTTTAGTTTGATACCTCGATGCATGGGACCATAGTTTTCAAGGCACCAAGGCGAGGCTAGGCGATAAGGGGCGCCTTGTCGCCTAGGCGATGGATTTTTTTAAGTAAAACCATATATCCTAGGGTAGTTCCCCAGGTTCCATAACCATTTTTCCTTAATAAATATTCATAATTTTCATAAGAAAAGTATAAATTTCATGTTTAAGTCTAGAAAATCAACATTTTATGAGAAGAACAAGAACAAAGGAAAGAAAATTGGGGCTGAACCCCTACTTTTGTTATAGGAAAGAAGAAAAGAAAAGGTGGAAGAAGACGATGTGGAAGAAGAAAATGTGTTGATTAGACAAAATTTTAAGTTCTTCCCTTGCTTATTGGTTCAGGTTTTGAAATTTTTGAGGGTTCAATCAAGGATCAAAATTTCAATACGATACGCCCCGTATCGGGTGTATTGTATTGTATCTTTGGGGTCCCAATACCTGTTTATAGGTGTTTTTGGGGACTCATTTTTTTAAATAATATATATATATATATATATATATATTTAAAAATGAAATTGAAAACCAAAGAAATAAAAAAAATAGAGGGAGTATCGTTATAAGTACCGATACACCTCTGCCAATACACAGGTGTATCGATACTTTGAACCATGGGTTCAATACAACAGTTGTCTGCATTGATTAAACCCTAACAAAATAAGAAAATAATAAAAAGAAACTAGTATATAAACACATAAAATGAATATTCTAGTTTAATAATGTCTATTTTATAATTATAATGTCAAAAAATTAAAAATATAAAAGTATTTTATAACCCAGTGCACAAAACTGCTTGGCGACTGGGCGAGGCGAGCCCCCAAGGGCGCCTTGTCACCTAGGCATCGCCTTGACAACTATGCATGGGACACGAAATAATTATGGTCCTGTCCTGTCTCTTGTAGTTTGGTTGCATGTAATTAAATACTTGGTGGAAAGTGGAACTGTAGAGCTGAAAAGGAAACTTAAACGTCAAGACTCAAGAAGTTTAACTAAAGAGGGAAAACTAAAAAAAGTAAAAAAAAAAAACCTTTTCAGTCCTCCCTTAGTGAGCACGTCCACCTGTCTAGCCTCAGATCTATTCGTCTTCTTCTCATCAACGTCTTTTTCCAACTCCAAGTCTCCAATACTGTTGCCTATTGTAAACTGTAGACTTGTAGAGTGCAGAGAAAGCCAGAGAGTCAGAGAGTCAGAGACTGGGATTGCGTTCTTCCCAACCAATGTCTCTTCTCATGATCTCACTCTCACCTTTCAAACCTAGAAGTTCAAACTCAGAAGAGTGAGAGACCAGCAGCAATGCAGTGACTGCAACAAGATGCCAGAGATTGCAAGGTTGCAACCTGCAACCTTCTTCTTCTTCTTCTTCTTCTTCTTCTTCTTCTTCTGGTTGGGTGTGAAATTCTATTTCGGTTTTTAACCAAAATAACCGAATACAAATTTGGTTCGGTTTGATCAGTTTTAACAAAGTTCAGTTTCGGTTCGGTTTACACATGATAAATCGGTTATTAAAATTTCGGTTTTTTCGATTCAGCTTTAAACCGAACAAACCGAATGCTCACCCCTAAACTCATCGATGTTTTATCAGCTTGAGATCAGTAGGGGGGAAATTGAGTTTACAAATGATAGATCTTCTTCTCCATCAAATAGTGGGGAGTGTCCTTTGAAGGGGAATAGTTGGTTTCAAAAATCCAGTTAACTTATCAATCTATGATTTTCAAGCAGCAACTACAAGTCACCATATATTCAAATACAACCATCAGATTACTATAATATTATCCATAATATGGTTGTATAGTCTAGGGTGTTCAATTTTTAATTTTTATTGATAACAAAAGAAATCTTTATTAAAGATCAATAAAAAGAGGGAGAAAATATAAGAATGGCACTCTGGGGTTTCCTTTAATTAATTGGAAGGGGGGGGGGGGGCAGGGACCATATCAAGATGATAAATAAATCACCATAGGTTCTTCATCTTTTCAAGATCTTTTCATTTCCAAGTAATCAATAAACATGAGTTCATGCCTAGGCAATTTTCATCTATGAAGTTCATAATGAGATTCCTTTCCTCTGCATCAATTCCTCATCACCCCCTCAATTCCCTAGTATGTTTTAGGGTTGCAGATGTTGTTGTCCAAGAGGAATTCTTCTCAAGGAGTTTCTGAAAAGAGCCCAGGTGGGACTGGAGCTTCATGATCTACTGCATTCAAATACAAGGGGAGTTCTGAGACAAGCCTGGGCTGCTTCCAAAACATCTCAACCCCAGCCAAAGCTGACTTAGAGGACCAATCTCAATGCTATGGAGACCCAAACCATGTGATTTTAATGTATCGTGATGATTAAAGTGGGCAAAAGATGGCTTTCATCAACCAAGGCTACCAAGGATTATATTCTAATAAAAATGGAATAAATAAGAAATCCCAATATGTGCTGCTTTCCTTTTTTTTGGTCTTTATTCCATTTGAGATTCATCATTGGATCTAAAAAGCTGTTTCCAAATGTTCTTGTTGGTCTTTAGAAATTGAGTAGTTCATTCTACATTCTAGTATAAGTAGGAAATGATTAGGAGGGAGAGATCCAAGTAAGCATTTATACTGTTTGTATTGTCACTCTAAATGAAAAGGGAAATATCATTTTTGTTGCCCTTGTGGCACAACCATGTCTATTTTCTTCTTTCAATTCATTTCACCTTTCTTGATTTCTTTCTAGCTGACAACACAGCATTAGCCAATGAACAAAGGTTTGTGGCGTTCAATTGATGAAAAGAACTGTAAAACTACCTACATAATCAATTATCAAGCTTCTGCTAATGGATATTAATGACACTATTGATGAAAAAAATGCCTATAGTTATATTTCCCATTAACCATCCCTCTTATATAACATCTAGATCATTTTCTACACCTTCGATTTTTTACTTTTCCTACAATTGTCATCCCCAGAAATCCATGAAAACTCCGAGACTCAATTTCTGCCACTAATTCTGTTTCTTGCTTTCCATGTTCACAAATTTCCACAGTCCACTTTGAATGCCCATTTGAGAGGGCTTTTGCCTTGCTGTTTTTGGCTTTGCAAGTTGAGGTCTGCCTAAAAAGCCTATAAGCAATGTTGGGTGAAAAATCCAGAGAGCCCAAATTGACTATTTTTCAGCCACTTACATGGCTTTCCTTCAAAGCTTCTTTTAGAGGCTTCTTCCAATGTTTTAAAATCAAACCAGAGGCCAACCCAGTTTTTTGGTCTGGGTGACAGTTCACCAGTTCAACCATCCAGGTTGAACAGGTCAGCCCGTTAAACAATGCATGGCTTTTAGAACAGACCAACATGTCAGAAACACTGGCTTTCTTCAAAGCAGCTCATCTAAAGCAACTACAACTAGACCAAAGCTTAAGCCCTCCCAAGCAGGGCCTGATTTACTCTTTGAGTTTTGTTAAAGTGAGCCGAATAGGGGTAGTTTAGTCATCTTATGTTTGTTAAGTAGTTTGCTTATGTGGCAGTCTTATTAGAGACACTCTGCCCCACACTTAAGTAAGGGTAGTTTAGTCTTTGTAAAGGTCATTAGAATCTAATAAAGATTAAGGGGGTCGACTGTATGGGTAGTCCATCAGATTTCGACAGACCCTTATTTTCTTTCTTCTTCTCTTCTTCTTCCTCTTCTTCTTCCTTCTCTTCCTGGTTCGGGTTACTGTAGCAGCATTCGAAACAAGTTTTGATAGCTTCAGCTTTCAATGGAAAAACTGACGTTCTGAACCATCTTCAACTGTAAAAGAACCCCAACATTGTTGGACTAAACCTTAGCATAATAATAAACCACTCAATCCAAAAGAGGCCATCTTGTGTGGTCAATCTCTCTGAAAAACAGGACAGCGATCAGGAATAGCATTCAATATTTTGCAATGAAAGATTTTTTTTTGGTAAAACCAATGAAAGATCATTTCTCATCTCGCCATATCACCTCTCAATGTAGGTTGTTTTGGAGTTCTACTAGTACTAGGGGTTTTGACCAATGATTTAGCAGGATGATCTGAACAAACCATAAAAGGTCATCATGGCAAGGAACATCCTTAGCGCAAGTTAACAAAGCAAATTTTATCTAAGCTTTTGTAATTTTCTTAATGGATTTTCTGTTTTAGAAATTTGAAATAGATATGATAAATATAGGAAATCTACAGATTTTATTTTCTACAAAATTTGACTTGTATTACAACAATTGTCAAGGATGGAAAAGGGAAAATAAATTAGTGAACATTTAATTTTTTTTCTCAGGTCAGTATTGAGTAGTTGATCTGTGCAAAGCATAAGATGTTAAATTAACATCTGTAACTAATTGGAGAGATCAAATTATTCATTTCCCCTACTGGTCCTGATCTTATTGGGGGTTTGAGTTCCCAAGGTATGATCACATGGATTTATTTTTTCTGTAATACCAGTACAAGGCATCTTCTGCCCTTTGTGAACATTCCTTTCAAAAAAAGTCCATATGAAGCAATGAAACTGTGCATATATCAGCATCCATCAAATTAACAGCAACAAATAAAGGAGTGCATAAATTAAATTCTCAATGTGTACCAGTGATCCAATGGCAACAAGAGCCCGGAATTTTGAGTCAGCATCTTGATTTCCATCTTCTCCAATCTGTGAAACAGAGAGAGAAATATCATTTGTGATGAAGCATGCCATTCCCATTTTAAAAAATGTCTAATTAACATCAAACACGATGTGGCTAGAAGATACCCCAAAAGAGAAAAAAAGGAAGAGAAAAGAAAGAACTAAATATTGTTGAGAAGGAAAACAAAAAAAAAAAGAAAAGAAAATCATCTAGAAAACGAGTAGCGATAAGGGAGAGCAAATAAGATTCCTTACTTAATGAACATACTTCAAGAGCAAACAATATTGTTGATAAGGAAAACACACCATTCTCATTTTAGAAAATGTCTAATTAACACCAAACATAATGTGGCTAGAAAATACTCCGAATAGGAAAAAGGAAGAGAAAAGAAAGAACCAAATATTGTTGAGAAAAAAAAACAAAAGAAAGAAAAGAAAAACATCTAGAAAATGAGTAATGATAAGTGAGAGCAAATAAAATTCCTTATCTAAGGAACATACTTCAAGGGCAGCTGATAGAACTTGAGATTGGCCTTCTTGATCCTTTCTTTCAATCAATAGGACAGCATAACTGCAAAAATAGCAAATGATTCTTTAGGGCACAGAATTTGCAAGGTAACCACAAAAAGAGTTGGCCCTAATGTGTATGCATCAAACTATTAGAGAGATTTTCTGTCAAGCCAGAGTACAAAAATGTGAAATACGTGCTGTATCTATTAAATGAACTTATATTTGGTACCATATGTACTGAGTACCAACTAAAAATGTGCACTTTAATTCCTTAGTTTGTTCATATAAACTTTTTAACAAAACATTGCTCTTCATGTTTTAGCCATGAAAAAGGAAAAGAAACCATGGATTAAAACAAGACAAAGTAGAAAAAGATGGTTTAAGAATGTACATAGAAGACCAACCACCACACCAGCAAGAAGTGAATGCAAGTGTAAGGATCTAAAGGGGTGGCAGAACAAAAAAGAAAATGGTTGCAATAACAAGATATGATTTGAGAGCAAACAGTTTCACAAGGGATACAACTCTCTTGATAGAGTGAAATGGGAAAACAGGATTCTTGTAAAAAAACCCCTACTTATTTGGATGAGTCTTTGTTTGAGTACTTTGCTTTGAAAAAATATTAATTAGTTAATAAAGTCAAAATAATTTAAAGGATCTCATATAGAGTTTTGGTTTCTAGAGAAGTTGAAACTGTAATCGCATCATTTTCTTGTAGTCTATGTTTTTTTTTTTTT